AAGAAATTTTTGAAATAATGGAGCAAAGAGAGAGACTCGAACTTGTTTTATTTGCAAAAAGGTGGGCCACATAGCCAATAGTTGTCGATTAAATACATCTAGTGGAACTAACAAGGAATTGGCATGTGTGGTTTTCGAGTCCATGCTAGCTGATCCTAAGGGAGCTTCTTGGTGTCTTGACTCGGGGGCTATGGCCCATATCACAAATACCTATGAAGGTTACCGTTCTTTCACTCCCATGGGGCCAGGATAGTAGCATATTTATATGGGAGGAAATCAGAAGACTGATGTATTTGGAGTTGGAGATTTTAAGCTGAAACTGAAGAGTGGGAGCACCTTGATCCTAAAACAAGCACTTTATGCTCCTGATATCAGGAAGTACTTGGTTTCGGTTCCTAAAATGTCTATGGCTGGATTCATAACCACTTTCATTAGGGAAAAAGTGGTGGTCAAGAAGGGAAAAGATGTGATCATGACTTGACGACTTGTGGACGAGCTATTTACTATTGAAATAAAAGAGAACATTGCTTATGCCTTATCGCCTAATGAATTAGATGCTACGCTATGGTATATGAGGTTAGGACACATTAATATCAAACAAATAGAAAGATTAAAAAGGGACGGGATTTTTCAAAATTATAAGGGAGATTTATTGAAAGTGTGCGAGTTTTGTGTGCAAGGAAAACTAATAAGAAAAAATACCACCAAGGCAAAAAGAGTTACTAGCGTATTGGAAATCATTCAAGTGACATATGTGGACCTATGAATGTGACCACCAAAAGTGGAAAAAGATATTTTATCTCTTTTATAGATGATCACTCACGATATGGTAATGTTTACCTTATTCATGCAAAATCAAAAGCCTTAGAAAAATTCAAAGAATATAAGGCCCAGGTAGAGAATCAAACCAACCTGAAATTAAAGTCCTTAGAACCGATAGAGGGGGAGAATATTCATCTGACCTTTTCAAAGAATTGCGCATTAAAAATGGGATCATCCATCAGTATACCGTGTCTTATACTCCTGAACAAAATGGTGTAGCTGAGAGAAGGAATAAGACCTTAATTGAAATGTATAGGAGTATGATGGGGCATGCAAATCTCTCATTGGAGTTTTGGGGAGAAGCCGTATTAATGGCATATTACATCCTTAACCGAACTCTCACAAAAGCTGCCCCACTTACTCCTCACGAAATTTTCACAGGTCGTACTCCCTCCCTTGGACACCTGAAAGTTTGGGGTTGCTCAGCCCATGTCCTTATCCCACATCAAAATAGAACCAAATTGCAACCCAAAACTATCAAATCCATTTTCTTTGATTGTCCAGATCATGGTAAGGGGTATCGATTCTACAACCTTGAAACATGTACGGTTCTTGAAAGCCGCGATGCTCACTTCTTCGAGGAAGAGTTCCTTGAAGAAAGGGTGAGTAGAAAACAAGCAAACTTTTATGAGGAGGTCAAAAACAAAGATGTAGTTCGAGACCCTGAACCTGAAACTTCTAAACCAACCCAACCTGTTCCTGAAATCTCTAAAAAACGTGAACCTTTACCTGAACTAAGACGACGTCAGCAGACCACCTCTTTACCTAGAACATTTTGTCTGCCTTGGAGACCATTTTAATAAGGTTGGGGAAGATACAGATTCAGAACCTAGAACTCACCACGAAGCCTTGACCTGTCCTGAAAAGGAATTCTGGATAGAAGCCATGAAAGATGAGTGTGCTTCCATTAACCAAAACCATATATGGGAATTAGTACCCCTTATATTGGTTGTAAGTGGATTTTCAAGAAAAAGTTGAACTCTAAAGGGAAAATAGAAAAATACAAAGCTAGGTTGATTGCAGAGGGTTTCACCCAAAAAGAAGTGATAGATTATGAGGAAACATTTTCCCTTGCTGCCAAATTTCCATTCATCTGAATCGTTATAGTTATAGTAGCCCATTTTGACTTTGAGGTTCATCAAATGGATGTCAAAACAACCTTTCTAAATGGGGATTTAGAAAAAGAAATTTACATGACCCAACCTGAGGGATTTGAAGAAAAATGAAAAGAAAATTTAATATGCAAATTAAATAAATCCCTTTATGGCCTGAAACAAGCATCACGACAATGGTAAATAAAATTCGAGGAGACCCTTTCTCTTGCAGGGTTCTCCACAAATAATGAGGATTATTGTATATATTAAAAGGTTAGTGGGAGTGATGTGGTCTTTATATCATTATATGTGGATAAGATGCTAATTTTTAGTAGCTCAATTGGCCGAGTAGTAGAGACGAAAAATTTCTTTACATAACACTTTGATATGAAGGATCTTGGAGAAGCTTCATATGTGTTGGGCAGCTATGTTATAAGAACTAGGAGAGATAAGACTATCCAACTTTCCCAGGCAACCTGCTGTAAGAGGATTCTGGAAAATTTTGATATGAGTATGTGTAAGCCCATATCTACCCCAATTGACAAAAAAAAAAATGCTTAATAATAAGATGTGTCCTACCGAATACATGGATATAAGAGCCATAGAGAGAGTGCCTTATAGGAGCGTAGTTGGGTCCCTTATGTATGCCATGACGGAAATAATGCCTGACTTGTCCTTCGTCATGAGTCTGGTGAGCCGTTTCCAAAGTAATCTAGGAGATAAGCATTGGAAAAATGTAAAAAGAATTCTCAGATATTTAAAGGGGACCATGAACTATGCCATCACATATAAAAGGGGAATTGAAATAGCAATAAAGGAATATTTAGATGCAAGCTATCTCGTGGATCTAAATGATGCGAAGTCTACATCTGGGTATGTGTTTATACTTGGAAGAGGTGCGGTTTCTTGAAAGTCAAAGAAGCAAGATATTGTGGCCTTGTCCACCATGGAATCCGAGTATGTGGCATATTGTCTAGCAGCCAAGGAAGCCGTGTAGATTAAGAATTTTTTTAATCAACTTAATTTTTATCCTATAAGTTGTGAGGCAGTGTGATTTTTCTGCGATAATACTGCAGCTATTTGTGTCTCTAAGGAGCCTCGGTTTCACAAGAACTCCAAGCATATTAAGCCTTATTTTTATTATCTGAGAAATGAGGTGAGATTGAAAGAGATCGAGATCAGCTACATATTTACAGAATTGATGATTGCAGACTTTTTGACTAAGGGAGTTGTCCCTAATGTTTTTGTAAGACATGTGAGAGAAATGGGGATGAGAAAAAGCGAGGAAGATAGAATGTAAGGTCTTCAAAGGCCAAGTGGGAGATGTTGGGTTTATGTGGCCTTTACATACCTTGTGAGTGTGTATTGAAATACTTTTATAGTGAAACATAAACTCAGTGGGAGTGTGGTCTCTCGAGGACTATACTAAGCGAATAATGTTTGCGGACTGTGCTTATCGATCTGAGCTAGTCGGTTGGAAAATCAAAGGTACCTGGGCATAAAGAATTAACCGAGGAAGGTTTTGGGTTAGCCCTTGATAAAGTCAGAGCTTATGCCTAGATGAGAGAGCCGAGGGACTGTGTGACCCTTGTGTGTGATGGTAGGCCTACTGAGACGGGGGCCAAAACCTCATCCATGTTTCATTACAAGGAATGCATAACCATAGATCATTCGGGAAACCCAGATATCCACCTTTGGGTGAAGCGTATGCATGTGCGAGAGATACCCCTATGCACCATAGAGTTGTGGTTGCATCAAGTCGTGGTGATATTTACTAGTCTCTAGGGGAGGACCTGTAATCCACAGCCTGAGATTGCAACCCCTTGATTCATCAACCTGACTTTGTTGACCCGCTAATGAGCCCTTGCTTGGACTGTGGGTCATGGGAAATACTGGGTCAATTCAATAAAGCTAATGTAGTCTGTAGTGCACAGTTGGAGGTGGAGTATCCCATATTTACAGATTGAATTCCTAAAACCATATGGATCCCTTTCCCATCATATTAATTTACTTGTGTTTATCTTATTATTAAAACGGATTTAGTTTTATTATTTGAATTTTTATGAATCTCTCAATATTTTATTTGTAATTTTTGGTTTTATAAAAATGCAGTTATTGATTTACAAAATTATAAAAAATTCAAATATACATTAATTCGTTTTAATTTAATTTTCATACTTTTTATAAAATTATATGAGGGTCCAAAGTGCACATGGGGCCACCATGTAGCATGTGGGTGGGGGCCCACATGTGACACAAAAGGATGGCACGCCCCACCCTCTTTGGATTCTCTTGTTTGCTTCATGTTCAAGTTTTTAAGTAAGATAAGTTTGATTTATGGCATGTGGTCAAATCTTGGAAGGGAAACATTGACCATGGCTTTATTTGTTTTATAGCAAGTTTGTTTTAAAGAGATATGGTCAATTTGAATAGATAATAAATATTGACCTTATCTTATTTATATTTGGTAGTATTTATTTACTTGATAATATTTGACATATCTTTATGGAATATATGAGATGGATCATGCCAGTTTATGGAATGCATGATATTTATTTTATTGGGAAAATGGTTTAAGGGAAAGGGGATAATAGTCAAAGCACCTTCTATAATATTGATGGCCCATCTATGGAATGGATGGTTCAGATCTCTCACCCCACAGTCAACTTGATCAACGGTCTAGACTCAATCTCATGAAAGAGACAAACTATCGGAAAATGGTAAGAAATCCTAAACCTAAATAAACACTATCAATAGGGGTGCTCTTCATCAATCTCTACACACCCAACCTCTCTTCTCTCTCTCTCACCTCTTTCTCCTAGAGGGGCATGTCCCACTCTCTCTCCATTTTTTTCTCTCTAATTTTCTCTTTCCAAAATTTGGGTGGTACTCTCTCTCCTCTCTAGACCTAAGTTAATTTTGAGGGTTAAAGTTTTAGTAGAGATTTTAAGGGGTGGTTACCTAGTTAGGCTGGAATCAGCTATCCCGGTTTGAGATTGAAGCTTAACCACAGAGCCCGCGCCATTGAATGTGGTGACTCGGTGTGGGGTGTAAAAAGCCCGGTTGAGGTATTTTCCAGCATCTTTTCTTTTATTTGTTAGTTCTTTTATTTTATATTCTCAAGCACAGTATTAAGTTGTATGAATGGCATCAAGTAGTTGAGATTTATTTTATTGATGCGTTATTTATTTTTAAAATTTCTATTGTTTGTAATAAGACCATCTGTGAGTAATCTTGTTGCCAAAATTATACGGGGCAATTATTATTAAAAAAAAAATTATTTTTCCTCGGCAAAAGATCACATAGGTCTTTCTTTCAAGATGAAGATTAGTAGATCAAGGCAAGAGGAGACGTTGAACGAGCTTAGTAGGAATGCATGCTTACGACTTTAGCTTGGTGGGCAGTTTCCATGCCAGCCTTGCAATCACAATTTTCTTTACAATCACAATTTTCTTGGAGAGAAGAAGATGGAATTGAATTTACAGAGATCACCTGTGGACTATCAAGTTCCTGTGGACTATCAAGTTCATGGATTTGAGGGTTCTCAAATTGGCTATAATGGGAACCCTCATAATTGGGCTTCAACCTCTGGCCATGGCGCCATACCCTTGTTCAATGAGCACCCATTTCCTCAGGTTTTGGAATATCACATCTCTCTCTCTCCCCAATGAAATTGCTGCTAGAAATACTTTGTTTTGGATATTTCATTAATTATTCTAACTTATTCAAATATGCAGCAACCAAATTGATTTCGAGACGAAGTGGTGTTTTCAGTGTTTTCATCTCTAGTTTAGAATGGACGTTCTGTGCTTCATGATTAAGATGGATACGCCTCTTTTACCTTCACAGTATTTAAGTAGGAGTGGTTCTACAAAAGTCAACCTCCTATTTCATTCAGGTATCAGATAGTATGGTTTTAAGTTTACAGTGAGCTGCATCAATGTTCATCGATGGTGGATTTGAAGATTGTTGTTTGTGTCCTAGAGGGAGGAGTGCATCAGCTGCATGAGGCTTTGATGCATCTTCACATTAGTCGTCATCAAAACTTGTGTAAATTATGGAGGTTCGGGGTATACAGATCTATACACATGTGTAAACTTGTGTAAATTATGAGGGGGTTGAAGATGCCTCCTGGGTAGCCAACCTCGTTGGGGGGAAATAATATGAACTCTATCACAAACAGTGTGGAAGAAGAGGCGAAGTACTCCGATTTTCCTGCATCATACCACCCGGGCACATTGATGATACCGATCTTAGTGAACACATCAGGTAATAGCATTCCAACTACTCCAAGCATGGCCCATCAACCATTCACCAACTTGGCTTGGACAACCCACTGAGGTTCTCGGGGTCCTCAACAAGACCAAGTGGGTCAAATCCGATCTTAGTGAACACCTCGGAAAAGTGATGTCAAATAGGGGAGTGTAATATCTTCAGTTCAGTTTCAGTTCTTCTTGCTACCAGTTTATGAAACTTGAAGAAGCCAAAAGAAATAAAATTGTTGGTGGTTCAGTCAGCTCAATTTGGTTGCCTTTTTTGAAGCTTTAATTTATCTATTTTTTACTATTTCAAGAGGTGTTTAACTTCCTGGTATCTTTTCAGTATTTTGTAAATGATTTTAATTGGTTGTTGTTTAATTAATGGTAATCTTTTGTGAATTCATTTCACTATCCAAGTAAACCCACACTGTACATGTAAATGACATATATGGAAAAGAAAGAAATGTCACACATATGTTACCAAAAAAGTCACCAAATGGGTTCTTTAGATACCCCATAAAGAGATCCTTTACATACCCCCATAAAGAGGTCCTTTACGTGCTCGCAAAATTACATGAATATTGAATATTCACATAAGCCCCAAAGTCAACTACAAAAAAGGGTATTTACATGTCTCCAAAATTCAAAAAATTAGTCAAGTCCTTTACATGCCCTATAAATAGGTCTTTTACATGCCTGCAAAATTCCTTGAATATTCATATAACCCCAAAGTCAAGTACAAAAACGGGTTTTTACATGTCTCCAAAATTCAAAAAATTAGTCAATACAAAAAAAAATAATTAAATGTATGTGCAAATAAACCCCTACAAGTTGCCATATCCTCGATGCGAATGTAGTCTCGCAATTTGTCATATCCTCTGTGTAATTGCAGCCCCTTCGTTTGTCATGGCCTCAACTTGATTCGAGGTCCTCAGTAGCTCTATAAGAGAAAGATGTATTGTAAATCCAATATGTAAAGCAGAAGATAAATGAAAACTAAAGCTAAATAGAAACAATTATATTTATTATATTCAATACATAAAGCAAAGAAGCACTAACATCCCATGTGCCCTCAACAGACAGTTACGCCAGTTATATCCACTCTTCCTACAAACTTTACACTTCCTTCTAGTGGATGGCCTTCCGCCGACTGTTTTTTTTTTGTAGAAGCTTTTGACCCTTCCTTTCATGAAGGTTTTGTCCTTTTAGTCCTTAGTCATCCAACTGGACATGCACTTGGTGGATCGAGTACAAGGGGGGGGCATCAATTGATCTAATACTGCCACATACTTCATCTTCAATGGCACCGAAATGAGTGGAGGTTGATGGTGCATGACTATTCGACAAAGACTTTCTTGTTGCAATGACCTCCTCAAAACCAACTTCACTTTTTCAAATAGATCATCATTTTCTAAGACTGGCTCTACAATTTTTCTCATAAGGTCATAAAGCTCATGACGTCAAATGAAACTCGAAAATTTAGATAGAGTCAAACTACTAGCACCACATTTGTCTTGGATATGTCTTTGCATCCATTGTCCACCGGCTCAAAATGTAATTAGATGGGATCTTTAATACATTCCTCATGTTGAACACTTTGAGCATATGTGAACAAGGGATTCCAATACGCTCAAAGAACTAACATGTACATGTAAGCTTCTTCCCTAATTCAATGAATGTAACCGTCCGAGGGATTGGCACATCGCGAATGTCTTCTACCTTATATTTGGTAAATTCATCATTGCCTTCTATTAATTTGCTAAAGCAATTTGAGGACCTTACCACTTCTTCTGGGAACTTTCTAAATACTTTTTGAGTGTATGTCTTTGCTGCATGCTCTTCAATAAGGAAGGTTGTCTTTAGAGCAGGTGTGGATGTAAGATCTTTACTGTCTTTCTCTTTTTCTTTGATGAACTTCTTGTTTTGCAACATTTCAATAGCATTCATAAATATTTGCAAACCTGTACCGTAAGTGACATACATTTTTAAATGACGATTGAACCCTTCACTTCGTTGTGTGGTTTTCATGTCGGCTATGAGCCTATCAGCTATGTATGCATCAACCCATTGAGTGCGACAATTATATAACCACTTGAGCCAACTTTTCTCGTGAAGATCATATTTTTGAATCATAGCCAACCAATCAGCCTCAAACTGCTCAACTGTGTACACTTCTTGAATACCTCTAAGAATAATTGGTGCACACACTCAACATGACTTAGATGTGTTTTAAACTTTCTCGTGATGTGCCACTTGTAATAGTAATTATTAGTATTCGAGAAAACTGTCTTTAACTATGTTATAGCTAAAGCCTAATCAGTGATAATTGTACCTAGTTAGTGGCCTCCCATTGCCTCTAGCAAATTCTCAAATAACCAAATGAAAATTTTTATAGTCTCATTGAATATGAGAGCACATCCGAGGAAAATTGTGTTAGCATGCTGATTAACTTTAAGGATTGAGCCAAAGGGCATACTGTATTCATTTGTTTGGTATGTGGTATCAAAGGTTACCACGTCATTAAAAAATTGGTATGACAATATACACATTGAATCAACCCATAAAACACCAAACAACCTCCCCATCTCATCAAATCGAACTCTATAAAATAAGTTAGGGTCCAATTCATTCTTCGTACGCAACTAATTCATAACAACATTACCATCTTTCCCTTTCAGTTGTTTTCTTTTTCTAGTTATGTGATTCTCAAGGTCTTTCTCAATGAAAGAGACATTTTCTGTCCCACCGGCCTCTTCAATAAGGTAATCCATCATAAGCCTAGACTTAACCATAGAAGACTTCAATGTATCAATCACCTTTTTTAATATGTTTGGTATCTTTCGTTGAGAGCGAATGAATCTCGTCTTGTTGGGCGTTGTGAGAATATGATTATGTTCTTTTACAAACTTTGCAATAACTCATCTCTACTTGTTACACCCCAAGTTTTAAAACACTAAAATTCCTAAAATGTGACAGTCTATTATTAAAGAACAAAACAAATTCAAAATTTTTACTATATATATATATACGAGTAATGATCCTATGAGACCCTCTCACACCCATGTGTGTAGGACCCCAAAGGATTACTATTAAATTTGGCATAGATCTCTAGAAAATTTATCACATGTGTGTGAGACTTGACTTTTCTAGATATCTGTGTCAAATTTAATGGTAATCCTTTTGGGTCCAACACACATGGGTGTGGGACGGTCTCACAAGGTCATTTCCCATATATATACACACACACAACTTTGATAGACAAAAGTTACAAAGGCGAATTTATCCATGACTACAAACTTCTTCCAAGTTACTCATGTTGTACATACGAACAATACGGCTGTGATTACTTTGGAAAAAAAAAATCATAAAGCTTGATTAGTTTGGCTACTCAGTAAGTGACCATCATTATCCTTAAAAATCATGGTTGGAAAGTGTAAATATTTTATAAAAGAATGCATAACATGATAAAGAGCATACATGGAGAACAATTTCAAATTCAGAAACACACAATGTAACATAATTTAAAAGATTTGAATGCATTTGAACCAATATGAGAAGTGCATATATAAATCCTTTAACAAAAATGCTCAGTTTAACATGATACAAAGGATTTCACAAAGTACCATGCTGACGTCTCAAGTAGGTCATCTATATACCCCACCAGCGATCTAGATGGGTCTACTTAATCTCTATCGGTGTACTGAATAGGTCCACTCATATCTCACCGGCGTACCGGATGAGTCCACTTATTTCCTGTAACTGAAGTCTTGCGTAGATTATAATTTTCTATCTGATGCCTTATTTTTTTAAGTTTTATGAATTCCTTCCATGCTAGCTCTAGTTACACGAGATCTTGATATCGTAATAAGTATAACTTAGAGTGTATTTCTAGTCAGAGTTCCTAGGAATCCTGAACCTATTATTCTTATATTAAACTAACTCTTGGAGTAGAAATCCTACCTATCGGGTCAATCAAATCCTAATGTTTAGAACCTCTACCATTACAATCAGGAAAGAGGCACCATCGATGGATGAATCCATTGCATATTGCCTCACACAGCCCCAATGTGCTTTAGGGCTTTTGATAGGCACTGACCTTGCAAGACACAACCCTCTCATGTGCCGCTCTGGTGAGAGAGCGTTACACTTTCAAATGGGTCCCAATGAGTAGCTCTTCACATAAGTTTTGGGAGAACGACCACCCAATCACACACATTCCTAACTCTCATCCTATCATAGAGAGTAGGGAAAAATCATAGCTGCCAGTACAAATATCTCATCAGATCATAACAGATGCATGTCTTCATGCGCCCATATCTTATCAAAAGCATGTTACTATGCACACATATCTTATCATAAGCATGTTATCATACACACATATTAAATCAGAAGCATATTACCATGCACACATATCTTATCAGAAGCATGTTACCATGCACACATATCTTATCAGAAGCATATCTCATATGTAACCACAAGAAACATCAACATGTCTATGTTATACATATCGTCATAAGGGACATCACTATATCATATTATCATTCATATAAATTCAAAACATTTTTATGTCAATTGCAGCCCATATATCAATTTAGTAGATATCAGAAAACAATAATATCATATTTTCAAAATATCCTTGAAATCATACACATGAATTTACATGAAGTAATATATAGCTCTCACTTGCACATAACACTTACAGTATTTTCAAATAATCATGTTACAGAAAGACGTAAAACTTATAGCGCAGATTCCCAAATTTTTAAACAATTGTTTTTTAGGAAAAGCAAGGCCACTTGCACATAACACTTACGGTATCTAAAATTTAAATATTACAATTAAATGCATAAATATCTTAGTACAAAATCTAATTTAAAATAATGATTTTACAGAAAAACTACAGTCACTTACATATATGTCACTCTGAAATGGATATGTTACTAACGTTGGTGGAGTAGAATTGGAATCAATGGTGTTTAGTTAAAGGTATGAGAAGAGATAGCAAATGAGTTTCTATGAAAAAATGAGCATAAAAATATGTTCACATAAGAGAAGAAAAATATTATAGAATTATTTTTATGAGAATATTTTGAGAACATTATCATGATGAGAACATAATATAACATGTGATGATAACATATTATAACATGCAATATAAAAATTAAGAATATTATAATAATATTAAACAGTGCAAATAATATGCATACAAACAATATATAAATGAAAACTGATAATAAATTAAATAATATAACAATGTATTA